GAATGTGTGTACGGACGTATATGTTTATTATGGATAATTAGATGCATGAAAATTTCGAGCTTTGAACTGTGTTAAAATTTATTACTAGCAAATTACCAGCAATATTTTTATGGCTTTAGTGAGCCGTAAGGCTTTTATCGCAATTAACATAATACTTAGTATTCACCATAGCGGCTGTGGCGGCTCCAAAATGCGAGATATCTAGTGTTAAATGTTAAAAACTCTTTTCAATATAATATTTGCATAATAGAAAACATAAACATTTACAGGTACTCCTGCCTACAACCAACCCTTCGACCATTCTCATCACCAATAATACATTTCATGTTTATAAATCTAAAATTTCCATTCTGTTGGCATGCATCCAAGTACTCTGTTTTTATGAACGCAAACAAACGTGAATAATTAATCGAAAGCATTTTATATTCAGTTACAAATTTTTTGCTTTTATTTCCCGACAGTCTTGCGTCTATTGCGATTTCGAAACTATCCATAGTCTAATATTGCGTTGGCGTTTTGGGCGGCAGAGAACTATCTCGTTGCAGTTGCTTTTAGAAAGAAAGATTTTTTTTCCTTCCTAAAAGCGTCCAAGGAGATGCGTACTATATATTCTCGTAATTAAACTGTTCTGATTGACGACAATCCAAACATAAGCAGATGTATAAGGAAGGAAGTGCGCTACAATTCAGTTCAGACTGAATCGTAGGAGAATCCCAAAATCGATGGCTCTATGTTTATGTGTGAGTATTAGGACGTATAGGGTGTATAAGGCGTCAGTGGGTGTTTTTCAGCTTGACAAGAATCGACTGACTTCAGAATTGTTGCATACAACACAAGCGATCATTCGCGGCCTGAATGGGCGAAAGCAACGCAAGAGCCTCTCGCTTTTTCGACGAGTAGTTAATATGCCGTCAAGAAAAGGAAGGAAATATATTTTTTTGAATTTTACCTAACGGAAGTAGCGAAAGACAATCTGGTTTTTCTGGACAAAGCTTTACGATCACCATTGCAGTTTTAAAAGAGAGAGTTGAACAATGTATATAAACGTTTGATACATCAGAAGATGATAGCAAGCTGATGGATTCGAAAAATATTCGTTTTTTTCACATTTCGAATGCGTTGGTTGCGAATTCATTAACTTATAATAACGATACGGAAATTAGGATGCTTTTAAAAACCAATTTATTCTCCGATATCATGCATATCAATTACTTAGAGATTTACCAGAAATTAATCCAAACATTGCAGCTACTAACACTATCATCCCTACCGGCTCGTTGGATATAGTGTTTAATACCGTAACGAGTAACGAACCCATTTATCTTATACAACTAAAAATGCTTTTGTATAAAACATGAAAAATTTAGCCAAAAATTTTCGACAATTTTAAAATATTATTAACACATATACACAAACTCACTCGCAAGTGCATACACGATTAAGGATAAATAGTTAGGGAAAATGAAAAAAAAAAAGAAGAAAGAACAAAAAAAAAAAAAAGGAGGAAAACACAAACTAACAACAAGGATGTTATGTACAATTTCCTCTTTTATGGTTTTCAAGAGCCAGTAATAAATTTTATACGAAACAATTTTTATAGCAAAGCTTACAAAATATGCACGTATGTAACATACGTCTATCTAAAAAGGCACACATAACGATTCCATATATATATATATATATATATATATATATATAATGCGCTCAGCACGCTACATTCTTCCATCTTTTCTTTGTGAACGTATTGTTGTTTGCGATAGTGGTTCTTGTTCTATTTTAGTAGAAAGTAGTTGGTTTCCTTCCTTGCGCGTGCTTGCACACACATATCGCCTATGTGGTGTAAAAAACTCTCATGCATGCATACATACATGCATAGGGACGCACCCATTCGAGTAGTGAGTGTGTGTGTGAGTGTGTGCATCTGATTGTACTTATCTAGGAATACAAAGCAGTTTACATGTGTTTTCTACTACTATTTCATGCTATTGACGTTGTTGTTTTTATTGCCGGTGATGCTATTGCCGTTATTGCAATCGTTGCTGTTGCTGTTCTATCCGAATAAAGCCAGCAGCCAGCAGCAGCCAGCAACACAACAGAATGTGGTAAATATTGTTTTCGGCTTATTTAAACGATTGTTAACAGAATTTTATCGCTTCTCTTCTCTTCATTTTCCTTATTTGTCTGCCTCCGATACGTTTATAATAAATTTAAAAAAAAAAAAAATACTACGCTCTTTTAGTTTGTTTTTGCTCGAAAAATTTGATTAAAAATTTGTTTAATTTTTAATTTCCAATTCGCGGTGCCCTCTCTTCACTTCACTTGTATGCATGTTTGCGAATATGTATGAATTTTGGTTGTACACCCAACAAGGTTTAGCGGGTGTACGCTAAATATGCCTCCCGGTTTGCATCTTAGAGATCACGTGAGGCGCGTATCTTCTTAATTAACTTACATTGAATCGCTTTATTGCTGTTCGCTCTATCGTCTGTCGATCATGTGCTCTTAGAGCGGTTGTTCGATTTGAGATATGGAAAAATAGAAATTGGCGTACAATACAAATAGGTTTTATAATAGGGCAGAAAATTTTATATGAAAATTTAAAAATATTATTTCAATTTCATTTTATATTTTTAAATGTTGAATGGTGGGTATCGAAGCATCGCCCCAAGGGTGATGTACTTTCTTTTTTATTTATTTATTTTAATATATATATATATATATGATTTATCACTCGTTGCACGCATGAGTGTATGCTGTGTAGAGCTACAATTGCCAAACGTTTGAACGTTAAAACATATGTTTGTTGCATTTAACAGTCATTTCCGTTACATGTTCAGCTTTAAAAGCTTTTTATAGTAACATCCGTTACTTGATAAACGTATTTAGGGCAATAGATTACAAAAAAAAAAAAAAAGAAGAAATAAATGCAAACAGAATACAAGAAATTTTCCGGAATTCATTTAAAATTTATTAATGAAAAAACACACTATGTGCGTGTGTGTCGTGTGTGCGTCTTTCTTTCTTTCTTTCTTTCTTTCTTTCTTTACTTTTTTTTCTTGCTTTTGTCATTAAATTTAAAATTCGCCATACAGTGTAATATTAAATAAATGCTCTTTGCGCGATATCTGTAAACGTACTGGGAATGTTTTCACTATTTTTTCTATGCCGCGTAAGCAGAAGAAGAACAAGAGCAAGAGCAAGCAAGAAAAGATATGATTGGGGAATAATGTCTTTGCCTCAGTTTTCATTCAATTGATAAGAGATTACAATCAGTTCACGATTAGGACAAGCGTAGTATACATATGTCATGAATGCCATGTTTCCTTGACGATCTAATTTCTAAGAGGAGAACTTATTTTTAATAGGAGGCATTGTTGTGTTTCTCTTCTCTCACTTAAGATCTTCCTTCATTTGTAACAAAAAACATTTACAACTTTCGTTAATGTATGTATGTGGATTGATTATCCGATAAGTTATTTGCTATATCTGCAGTGGAAGATTGGATGGAGAGCGCGTTGCAGAACTCTCTCTAATCAAATCCACGAAAGCTTTCGTATCCAAATCACACTCTTACGTTCATCAAGAACAACCAGTGCTTCCCGTGAATATATTTTACATAGAATATAGTTTACCTTATACTTCGATGGACATGGGCATACACACAAATCAACAATTACTATGACACATTATTAATTGTCCGTCCGTCACGTTATCGCTTGATTTGCTAATAATTCATTTTATCTGTGGGAAATAGAAAAAAACCTTTGCGAGGGCATGTTAACATAAAATATGTTGCTGCAGCCAGAAAGTGCAATGAAACTTGTATCAGTTTTCCTATAAGATTCGTAAGCTTTTCACATTCAGCGGTCACCTGTCGAATTCTCTCTCAACAATTGGAATAAATAAAGATATCAAATAAATTAAATAATTTAGAATCACAGAAAACTAATATTTAGCCGAGTGTCGAATTGCAGTTAAACAATTCGTCCCCGATCAGTTTCAATAACTTTAAATCGCATTTTCAATACACAACGACGTTAGTTCAATAAACGACTAATAGTGTTTGAACATTAACGTGGCAAGCTGGCGCCACGACGTGAGTCCACATCAAGACAACAACTATCAATGAGAAGAACATTTTGAATTTCTTGAAATATTTAGCGCACATATCGCACTAAATTTGCACAATTGAGCCACAAAACTAACACACACTTGCATATACAAAAGTAAGTGTGTACAGCATGTTTGCATTTCATTTAGAATTGCACTTCCGTTGCTGCTATTGTTTTAAGGATATAAACAAACGGCCATAACTTGATTTGCAAGAAACTCTTGTGTTAAACTTACCTGCATTCGTTATTAAATATTTCTGGGGGCGATCTAATTGCATTGCCTAGTGATATACGCACCCATGTACAGTAGCTGTTTTGTTGAAAAGCTTCCATAACGAAATGGAAAGAACATGCGCTCGCTACTTTCGTTTTGTTTGGTTCAATTCAGCAAAGGACAGCGAGTAACAGTCGAAGGATTTTTAAAATTTTCTACTCATTCTCAACTTGAATTGAACTATGAAACACATTTATATCTTTGCTATATCATTCACTTGAAAACCTCATTTCGGAAAGATAGAGAGATGGTTTGCACACAGATTTTCAAATTAAATCGTGGGTTTTGTTGAAATCCGAGTAGTATGTGATAATCGATCGAAGGGGTCGAAATCCACTTTGTTGGTAGATTCGCCTGCTAATAAGATTGAAGGCCATTGTAGGTGGGAGAAAATTAAAATGAGTCCATGGTAAATGCAACATCACGCCAAACTGTATCAATTAATTGCTAGTCATTAGATTGCTGCGACCATAATTCAAAGGACAAAAGACAGTTGAATTTTTTTTTTTTGTAAATTTATATTTGTAAATAATGAGGACATCGTGCTATTCTAGTGATACATATTTTAAACAACGAAATTTAATGATTAACAACGTACGTCTCAGTTAATTCGTTTAAAGTTTATAAGATTGTCGCATGATTAAATCAAAATAGGCATCGCTGTCGATCGAGGCACTTATGGTGGCGTAATAGTTAAGGAAATCTTCTTTGCTTACTTTGCCATCATGGATGCCACAGCTTGTATCGAAGTGCTCCAAAAATCGACCAAGTATCTCCTTTTCGGTTAACTCCCCGCTCAGGTATTTCGGATGATACTTAACCGTGTACACATTTTTCAAATCTTCCGCGGTAATCATTCCATCACCGCTGCGGTCCATTTTCTGAAAAGCTCTCTCGATCAAGTCGAATCGGCCCTTATTTATCGTAGGCTAAAATGAATCGCAACAGTTAATTAAAGCAGAAATCAGACGGATTTTACATTTGGACTTTATTCATCATTCATTGAATTACCCTCAATTTGCTTAGGAACTCATCCATATGTATAGAGCCATTATTATTCTCGTCAAATCGCCGGAACATGTACTTACTTTCGTCTTCATTAAGGGGTAGACCAGCTTGCTTTATACCATCAATAAATTCCTTCTCATGCATAAGTTTATCGCCATTGCGATCCATATTGCGAAAGGCTCTTAAAATTTTTAAAGAAAAATGAAAGGAAAGAAGGATAGACATTACGAACAGATGGAAGTTTTGTCTTTCGATTTGACTTTATATACCTGGCCAAGCCCAAGATGCCTTTAGCTCCTTTAGCATAGCACATAAGTCTTAATTTTTCCACGGGATCCTTGTCCATGCCATTGGCCAATTCCCGTTTTGCTTGATTGATTAGTTTAGCTTCTTTGGAGGTATAATCATCGCGTGATCCCATCTAAAACGAGAAATGCTGTCATAAATGCCCGGGCGACGATGAAAACTGAATTTTTAAAGTCATCCTCACACACCATCTTGATTGATTTTCTTTTCGTATTTATTTAATTGGCTTGAATTTATTGAATTGATTCTCTTCTTTAATAATTAATTAACTGACACATAAATTTTCCCGATTGCATAAAACAAATTTTCCTTTTTAAATTTTCCTTTTACTTAACACGTATTTGAAACATAATTCACGACTGTTTGATTGAAATGAAAAGCAAAGTTTTCAAAGTTTATTGATTATTAGAAATTCTTTTTTCTCATTATTTACCTTTGAAAGTTGCTGACACTTAAAGAAAGGCTTTTACTTTTTGAACAACTTGAAAGTTTTTATTTATATTTATTATGATTGATCAAACTCGCAATTATGTTTTTAATGCGTTCAAACTCAATTATATACTAAAACTTGTATCTCTTAAGAATCCGCTAGAAATTCGCCAATGAATTATGAAAAAACATAAGAGGAAATTAGTGGCGCGTACAAGGCGCGTTTTTAACGTTACAAACATACGCGATCGAATGCGCAAGAATCCATATTTGGATTGCAATATAAAATTGTGTCTAAGCTATTCAACGAGTACGTACGGGTTGCAATAATAAGAAACGGGCGAGGCTTGAGTTATTCTTGAACAACGAACGAATTTATGATGTGTGTCGTGTTACAGAAATTATTATCAAGTTATGCACGAGTGTGTAAAATGTGTATCGAGTAAATCAAGCGGAAACACGAAAACTTGGCTCAAAGTGACAAAAACGTTTTTGTTTTTCACTCTCTAGTTAAGTGGCGCATGTAAGCGCGATTAAAGGGGGCCAGGTCTCTTTCTAATTTGCTTCATAAATAAGTCCACGTGATTGCTGTTGGAAAAATGACGACGATGATGTAACGGTGAAATCGTTTAAGGTTTATGCAAAAATGCTCATCAAAATTGCTCCAGTCGCATCAGTTTGCGAGTTACTAAACTAGTACTAGTACTATACTATGTATACCATACTGTACCATACTATACTATATATACTATACTACTGTACGGTATACTATACTATGTACACAATGCTATACTATATATAGTATATATGGTCAGTTTGTGTTCAAGTTTCTCATCAGAGTCTGGCGGTTTTACTAAGTTACACATTCTTAAGCAAGTACTAGACGCGTAACAAACTTAATGAACTTTAGAATGTGGCTTCCTTTAGCTGAAAATGAATGTATTATCTTTCATATAGAAAACAAAAAAATTTATTAATTTGAAAAATGTTTTCCCATGATAAAGCTTCGAATCGATGGATAATTTATTTGAAAATTAAAAATTTTACAATATTTAACAGTGAAACGCTCGCTCGATTCATAGGCAACATCAATATTTACCTCAATTAATAGCTATTGACCGAACTATAGGAAAATGTGCAGTGACGTAGCGTTTAATAGAGAACACAATGGCATAACTAATAATCGCCCTAAAGGCGGAAAAAGTCACATGAATTGTAATTAGTATTAATGAAGACTTGAAAGAAAACTAGAATGAATAGTGACTGCCTTCAAGGTTAACTTTTCAATTATGAAATTTTTTTTTTATTTTTTATTTTTTTTTTTTTGTTTTCTTCATTACGATTTAATTGAAACTGATTCTCATCATAGTTGGAAGCGAAAGCAATACGTCTCTGATATTTTATATGCATAAAAACGTGTACGCATATAAAGATAGATAAACTGTCAAAAATTTGTTAGCTGAGCATGTTATCTTCAGTACCTTGACAACGTTATAGTTGCAGTTGTATGTGTAAGTTTGATGTAAACCAACCCGAAAAAGTTTCTTTTTTTTTTTTTTTTTTTGTTTCAACCAGGACAACAAAAAATACATACATATTACATTCAGCTATTATTCTAACATGATTAAAAGAAAGCATGACAGATGATTGCAGCTATGCAAGCAAAATCTGCTTTAGTATTATATGAAAACGCAAACACAAATGCACGCTGCTCACAATGGACACACAATTGCTTTCCCTCTCTCTCTCTGTGTCTGAACGTTCTTCTAGTGTGTTAGAAAATATTTGCCCACTTTCAGGAAAACAGGTGAAGTCTATATAACGTGCAATGTGCATACGATAAATATAAGCATGTATTGTACCGAATACAAGGGAAGACACTGCGGTGAAAGTGCATATGCATATGTACGCAGATAAATGAAATTTATTTGTGTATGCGTTCCCTTTTTTCTTTTAATTTTACAATGTCAGTAACACACAGCCAGAACAATGGACTTCACTATTGTACGTATATGTGAGCATACATTTTTATATGGGAAAGTAGAAAAACGCATTATTGCTGTGAAAAGAAAATCGTAAAGATTGTGACAGTGTTGGATGAATGTACCTGGACTCGCCGACATAACTTCTTACTACAGATGCACGATGATAAACGTGCACCGTATATGGCTGTTATGCTTGGTTACGGCAGTGCCGAAGAATATACATAAGCATGCGCATCGTGACCTAATCTAAAAAGTACAGAGTCTTCGATTTCTTTCTGTAGATATACAATTCATTTTGATTCTTTGTAGGCTCAATACTTTTGCATTAATATTAGACTGAACTGCAAATTAGAAAAAGGCGTTGAAATGTGAAAGTACAGATTCTTACACATGATCTGACGTATGTTTGTGCGTAACTTATCTGTATAAAAAGATAGTTGCACGTTTGTGTATGTATGCGTATTTATACTTAGATCGTGCGTTTGCTATTCTGTAGACAACGTTATTATAGAATGGCATCCTTTTTTCCTTCTTTTCTTTTTAATATTCTTTCTCTCTATTTACCTTCTTTTTTTCTCTTTTTTTTTTTTTTGGGTTGTTATGTAAGCACATAGAAATTGTTATAAATTCTTGCAGATATTACGTACGTTTTTCTTCCCTATTTTGGTCTAGTCTAGTAGTTTGTACATTTATCAAGACTTATTGTATGAATGGTTACATATACGCACACACATAGACACACTTATATACATGATGCACACATATGAAATGCCCTGCGTATCAGTAACTATCCATATGGATATGAATATGTGCTTCACATCTCTCACATCTATACATGCGTAACAACATTTTGATGAAAGGTTAGTTACGTTACTAAGTAGAAAAATGAGAAAAACAAAAAAAAAAAAAAAATTAATGGAGAAACTTTTCTTTGAATGTTCTAAAATATGTCATACACTCAAGCACACATACGTTAGCTTGACTACGTAAATGATTGATAACATTGTTACGAAACACTTAATTTATTATGTCCAGGTAGCAGTTTTTAGTTTTTCTTTTTTAAAATGTAGAAGAGATTGAAATCAAATATTTATTCATTCATGGATCCATGTTTCTCGTTCGGTTTAATAATATGAATATGAAAATGTAAGACAATGTATTAGGCAGAGCTATATTGTAGTGTGCAACAATTAGCTGACGTTTTTAGTTTAATAGTGAAATTAATTAATTTTATTATGCAATTATTGAAAATATTTACACTCGATCGCAACATAGCGAAGAGTTAGGTTAGGTTAGGTGCGATGGAGAAAAAGCAAAGACACCCACCATTTCCAATAAGAAAATTCTGTTAACGACTTAACAAAGCTCTGTTAAATAATTACAATTAAGATGTAGTTGGATTTGAAAGCCTACTCTACCCATATTGAAAAAAGGAAAATATTTTCGTGGACAATTCATGAATCTATATGAGAATACCTTCCAAAGAAAACTAAACAAATTCAAATTCTGCTCATGGAAGCTATTTCTGACGATGTTTGAAATTTGGTGTGTTAGCGAAATATGGCTATGGAAGAACATCCAAATTTGAGACTCTAGTGCGGCCAAACTAGAAAAGGTCGCCTACATTCAGCTATATCACGTGAATCTATATAAAAGCACCTATCGAATGGAGAATGGAAATGGAATGGACTTTTTGAAATTTGGTATCTTATACTATCACCAGCAACAAATGCAGCTTGGCTGCACTATTAACTCAGTTAGTTGTTCTAAATAAACGAACAGATTGCAGTGTGAAAGACCACTGCGTATTTGCTATGGTATGACAAGTCAGCTTGCTTTTTACCTATTCATTGGGTTTTATTAAAAAGTTCCATTTGGTAGAACCTGCCATTTGAGTGTCTAATTAACAGTTTCAACAATCCGTCACATACTAGTGACAAATGTCGAGAACAGTGTGGGCTCTGCGATCACCGCAACCTATCTGCCCGTTCGTCTCTCGGTCGCGTAAACCAACTCCGACCGCATAGTGGCGATAAGAGCTGCGACAAAGGCAGAATATTTACGAAGATGGTTCTTTCTACCGACAGGAACAAAGGCACTGGTGACTGTCACGCTGCCGCTCTCTCCTCGCGTGTGACTTTCCTCGTTTAGCAAGCTCTTCCCTAGCTTAATGAAAAAAATTCCGATAAGAGCTTGAATACGACGGAAAAATGTCGGAAGTGCTGTAGTTTAGAATTAGTACCAGGTACATATTAAAGCTTAATCCGCAGCTAACGAAAATATACAAATTTTTTCGCAATATGCTGCTTTGCAACTTTGAACTCTCTTGTCCTCTTAAGCTAATTTCTTTAATTACCGTTCCACTGCAATATGTAGGAAAGCAAGTAAGAGAAAATACCTCCCCTCCCCACAAAACTCCTCGTAATTTTAGTTTCCGTGCATCGTATATATGTCGTCCACAACATATTTAGTTAAGTTCTTGCGTGCAGGATAGTTTACTTGATAAAACGCGCTGAGAGACAGCACCGTTTCCAATAGATTTCCGTTTCAGACAATGTTTCCCATTTGTATTTTCCTCGTAATCTTCACTTAGCTCCAACTCATTATTATTTTTAGTTGCCAAGTGATCACTCTCAGCACAACATTGGATAATGTTTTCGCTTTTGCTTTTCCTTTTCTCGCATATGTTCCATGCACTATAATAAAATGTGAAAACCTGTGGAATATACCGTAGGAGGATACGAGTACCTAGTACTTTGTTATTTTTGTGTTTATTCCATTTTTCTTCTTCTTTTTTTGTTACTGAAATCGCACATTTTGCCTTCGTATGCAGATATTTATATTGAAGCAGTAATCAATTATACATCAAACCATCAGACCGAAAGTATGTATATATAGAAACATACATATATATATATATATATATATTTGTATGTATATATATGCTTTATGTTATATGTTCCGATATATGTATATGCACAGAAACATAATATGTAGAGAATGCTGTTTGCAACAAATACACATGAAAATGCTTAAATACGTTTGTGGAGTGAAACCACGTACAGCAACAAATTATATGTAGTGTTTTTTATCAGCAGTGGGATACGTTTGACGTCGCGCGTAAAAATACGTAAAATATGACAACAGCTAACCTCATGCGC